ATTTCTATTACAAGCAACGTTTTTGAGCGGCTCGGTGCCTCTCCCCTTACTTGCTCCCCTCTCCTCCTCTTTGGCCAGCGTGTTGCTGAGTGAGTGTCTGTGTGAGCCAGCCCCGTCCTACCTCACAGTCAAACAGCAGGTGCAGCTGCCCATCGATCCACTCCTCGATATCCAGCCTCTTCTGCAGGTCCTTGCGGTTGTATTTGACTGTCAGCTTGCCAAGTTTGCGGTGCGCCGGCTCCTCTGCTTTGTCTGTTCCCTGGAACATCACCCTGGACTGGGTGCTAGGGTCTGACGCCATGGCTGCCACGGCCTCAGGAGATCCGTGGAAACGCACCGAGCTGGAACACAGACAGACCTACAGGCACGCTGGACTTGCAGGCTCTGAATCCCCTGCTCTGTCTCTGCTTTTCTTTTAGTGATACGCTGCTCCCACACGTATCTCCTGTGTTTCCTGTTATCTTTGTGGAGTGCTCGTGCTCTCCCTTCCTTCTCCTTAGCACTGCCTCTGGTTCCCTGCTTGTCCTCACCCCCCGACCCCCCTTCTCTCTCTCTCTCTCTCTCTCTCTCTCTCTCTCTCTCTCTCTCTGTCCCTCTCTAAAGCTCACTGTCTTGCTCTCCTTCTCTCCTCCTCTTGCAACACCCACTGGCTGCACTATCAGTAGAATGGTAATGAGATATGGCTCCGAGCTTGCCTCTGCATGTGTGTATGTGCACACACTTTACAGAGTGTGTGTTTGCGTTTTGCTCTCTTTGTCTGTCTTATATCAGGAAGGGGTGGGTGAGGAAAGGTGGGTGGGCATAGGTCAATTACAGCAATAAAAATGGGTGAGAATGGGTGAAAGGGCAACTGCCTTCTATCAAGTTAGGATAATAACTCTGGGTGAAAATATCTCAGCATATCCTTTTGCACTTTTGATCTTTCCCCTCTGATCATTTTACGTCTTGCCAATCCTGTCATTACTGGCACACAACTCGTGCTCTTTTTTATTGTTTCCCCCCTCAGTAAAAGTACTTTAAGTATTTATAAGTTGACAGACTCAAATGGGTTTGCCATCCTTGATGCTTCTTAAGTTCACAAACACTTCTAACTATAGCTGGGTCCCCCCCAACCTGACAGGTGATCCAGGGTTCCTCTAGTATGGTAGCTGCTTTGTCCTTTATAATGGGTATTATCAGGTGTGCGTTTAATAAGCCTTGAAGTCCAATTGGCATCCTCAGTTACGCACAGGTAAATAATGGATGAAGCAGCGGCAGCAGCAGCGTTTATGACTCTTTAGAAGTCAAACGACAAAAGTCTGAAAGCATCAGTGTTTCCAAAGTCAAACAGCAGCACTCCACCCCACAGGTCAAAAAAATTCATAGTAGTGGACACCTATGCCAGATTATTACAGCTGAGACAAGAGAGGCAACAGGCTGCAGAGTTTCCACAGATCGTATTACGATATGAATAATGGGGTTTAGCTTTTTTGGCTTTTGGCAGGGACTATCCATCAGGCATGCCTGCAAGTGTTCACCCACTGATGCACCGTCTGTTACAAACACTGAATTATTGAGTGCCTCGAGCAGCTCACCTTTCCAAGCAAACAAATTCATCCATCCCATTTTATGGCTACTTGGTTCTGCTCTATTGGGTTGTCTAAAAAAAAGGCTAGACCTTCTCACCTCAGGCCTATCAGGGTGACTCATTGTAGGTGACAGAAAAAGAAAGCAAGGCCAATAAATAAGCTTGACCTCAGCTCGTGTGACCCGTAGGGCTGAAGATGGGTCCTTTTAGGCAGCAGAGTTCACAGATAACCCCACTAACTTTGTTTTCTACAAGATAGTAATTTTCTGAGTGTTTTTGTCTTTCAACATTTCTAAACCAAAATATTTACATTGCATAATTTGATTATCAACTTCCTGTTGCTCCACACCTGGTTCATGCGTTGCTTCCTGACTGGTCACATATTTTAATGACTCACCAGCCTGAATCAGCTCAGTGTTACTATGACAAAGAGAACTGGGGCTGCTGGGAATTTAAAAGATGGGTCCTTTTGTTTTCTTTTTTCATATCAGGGCTAAACGAATGTTTTGGTTT